AAGGGGCTCCAGGAGAGCTGGAGAGGGACTGGGGACAAGGGATGGAGGGACAGGACACAGGGAATGGCTTCCCACTGGAAAAGTGGGCAAGGACACCTTCCACCAGCCCAGGTTGCTCCAACCTGGCCTTGGACACTTCCAGGGATCCAGGGGCAGCCACAGCTTCTCTAGGAATTCTATCCCAGTCCCTCCCCACCCTCACAGCCATAATCCCTCCCCAATATTCCATCTGCCCTCAGCCAGCCAAGGCTTCCTAAAAATTAAGGATTAAGTGGAATAAGAAAATATTCCGGTAATATTCTTATTTCTCCCATTTCTTGCAAGCCCTTAGTTAAGGCATCCTGCTCTGCCTGGAATTTCCAGATCATTCTGGTTCTTGGGATGCACCTGATGCCTAAAGGATGGCACTTTTTTATTCCCACTGTTCAGGAGAACAGCAGGAATTTCCACGGAGAAACTGGTGTGATGTCCTTGCCTGGGTAAAAATCCAGGTTTCCTGGGATTTTGTACCAACAAAAGGGTTGGAGGCACTGAAAAGAGGGGAAAAAGGGGATTTCTTCCTTCTGCTTGCACAGATTCCAGGTCAGATTCCCTTGAGGGAGCTCTCCAGAAATATTTAGGAATAAAAAACGATGGGAGAGGATAACAAATAAACCAAGCAAGGAGATTCCTGCTTGGGAATTCCATGAAACCAGCCTGGTAACCGGTGAGAAGCTGCTGGATGAGCCTCCTTTGTCCAGAATCCTTGGATTTCCAAGGGAGTAGAACAGGTGGTTCTGCTGTTGGTTCCTATGGAAATGCTTTTTGTGGGAATATGTTCCAGGATTATCCAAATGATCGAAGGGAAAATATATGGATGGATGAATTCCTGCTTTGAGATTCCCCCTTTTCCTGCCTTGCATCATTCCCTCACTTTCTTCCCTTGTTAAGTGGGAAGAAAGTGGTACCTTTTCCTTAATTTAAGGAAAAAATTCCTTGCTGTGACAGTATTTGGGATTCACCATCAGGCACATCCTGGATTTTTCCTTTTCTACTTGCCTTTCCCGCTGTTAAATCCAGAGTTGGATGGCTCAGGGTTCCACTCCGAGGGAATTTCCCAGGAAAGGAGGGAATTTCCCAGGAAAAGACCTGAGTATTCCTCTCCTTTTAAAATATCTGCTGTCTCAGGGAATGCTGAGAACATTCCCAAAGGATCCATTGGCAAAATCCAGGATCGTCGTGTGGGATGTGCAGGGGAGATTCCTTCCTGCATCCCAAACATTCCTCACCCAACCCCAGCTCTTTCTCCTGCTCTGTCATCCCCCAAATCCTTGAAAAGCAGGAGCATTCCCATGTTTTTATGGGAAGAGAGGGGGGGTGTCTCCCACCTGCTCCTTCATTCCCAGCCCTGCTCCGGCACCGGAGCGTTCCCGGCGCGTTGTTCGTCGCGCCGGAAAAAGATTCCTTTGGCTGCATCCCAAGCTTTTGTTTGAGGTTGGATTTGCTCCACGGGCCACATCCCTGCTCCCTCCACACCTTCCCGTGCTGGCAGGAAAAGCAGGAGCGGGAGGAAGGGCAGGCACTGCTGGTTTTTCCCCTCACAATGGAATGTTTTCCCGCCTTTCCGCTCTTTCCCCGCCGTCCCAAAAACTCGGCCGATCCACGAACGCCAGCGGGAGATTTTTCCAGTTCTGATCCCACACTTTGGCTTCTTGCTGCCCTCGGTTTTCCTTAATTTTTGCTTGGATTTCCTTCATTCCTGCTTAATTCCTGTCTTGGTTGGAGCCAAGCGCCTCCCGATCCCGAAAGCCAAGTGCCCGGGAAAACAGTTGCTGTGGAAACGGAGCTCGGGGAATTTATTCCATCGGGGGAAAAACACACACTTAGGGCTCCAAAGGATCCGTTTCTCTCCGGATTTTAATAGGGAAGTCACTCCAGGTCTTGTTAGGGAAGTCCCAAAGGATCCCAGTGGTGCTCCCGGGGCTGGAGAACCTGCAGACGCAGGGATTGTGCTTCCCACCGGAGTCACCTTGGGAATTGTTCCTGGAGGTTCTGCCCTCCAATTCCAGCCCGGGAATGTTGTCGATTTTGAGATAAGAAGGTCTGTGTTGGCTCAGGTGGGATCCCACCTGGAATGCTGTGTCCAGGGCTGGGTGCTCAGCACGGGAAGGACGTGGAGCTGCTGGAGAGAGTCCAGAGGAGGCTCCGGAGATGCTCCCAGGGCTGGAGCCACTTCCCTATGGAGCGAGGTTGGGAGAGCTGGGGGGGTTCCCCTGGAGAAGAGAAGGCTCCAGGGAGAGCTGAGAGCCCCTTGCAGGGCCTGAAGGGGCTCCAGGAGAGCTGGAGAGGGACTGGGGACAAGGGATGGAGGGACAGGACACAGGGAATGGCTTCCCACTGGAAAAGTGGAGATTTAGGTGGGATAGTGGGAAGGAATTCCTGGCTGTGAGGGTGAGGAGGGACTGGACTGGATTTGCCAGAGAAGCTGTGGCTGCCCCTGGATCCCTGGGAGTGTCCAAGGCCAGGTTGGAGCAACCTGGGCTAGTGGAAGGTGTCCCTGCCCATGGCAGGGGGTGGAATGGGATGATCTTAAAGTTCCCTCCCAACCCAAACCAGTCTGGAATTCTGTGAAATAATTGTGGGGTTCGGTTTTATTTTTAAGCTCCTTTTGGGGCCGCGGGCTTAGTGAATCTTGGGAATTAACTCTGGGAATAGACAAGTGCCCAGACATCCTGCCCCTGAATCCCAGGGATCCAGGGTGGGACGGGAGGCTGGAGGGAGCAGTGGTGGCTCTGTCCATCCCTGAGGACATTCCTGGGAAATCAGGAGCCGCGCTGGCGTTTTT